TTATAATGTTTATATTTTCATAATAACTTTTAATAATTTCTCGGACCAAAATACGATTTTATCGGCAGTATCGGAAAATGGGTGTGACTACGTAGTACTAATATTGAAAATGAATGTTCTGGCGGTACAAAGGATTTTTACGGTCCTACAAGAAAGGAATAGCTTCTCTTAGGATTCTCTCTGGTCACAGAATCCCTGAGGTCGGAGTTCGAATCGACGACCATTCCTCTTCTGATCGCTCGGCTGTCGTCATTGCCGAAGTGCCAGGTTCTCGTCGAGCGCGTTTTCTCGTGAATCTCGGGCCGAGAGACAGTGTTCCCCTCGTCACTCGCTTGCACGTTTGAATAGCCTCCCGCGGGTTACACGAGTGTATTCCAGTGAGAATCCGGGCATGTTCGTCACGCGAAATCGATTCTTGTCGACGCTCGGCGCCGCGCGACGCCTCACCGTCAGCGCTGACCACGTGCATGTTGCAAGCATGGGCGTGCGCCGCCCGTGCTCGCCTGTATACCGTGGGAATGCGTGCTGGAGGTAAGAATGGAAAGGACATAGAAGTGTCTTCTAATTAGTCTAGTTTAATCGGCGGAAAAATAGAATGATTAAACTTAGCGAAAATTTTTGAGACGAAGTAGTTCTGTACAAAGTAGTTCTGTTCAAAGTAGTAGTAGTAGTACTGTTCAATAATTTTTACAGAAAAAAAGCAAAAATCAATGTAAAATCAAAAATAACGAATTTCTCGATGACTTTCAGGAAGATACAATCCTATAAAATAAGAAGAAAGATAAATTTTCCTGACTTTCACGATCTCATTGGTATTTATTTCCGGTTCTGATTTCTTGCTGCTCCGCAGCAAGGATTTGATGCGAGAGAAAATAGCTGTCACGTGCATGTAAATAAATAAATGTACATTGGAAATATAAATGTAAAAACAAAGTTTAAATGCTAAATCTTTACGATAAATTTTATTTTATCTGGTATTAATCAATCGTCATTTGTTGTTTAGCAACTTGATAAATTCTGAAGTTTAACAGCTTAGGATTTCGTAACTTGGGTTATTATTTAAGACTATTCGTTTCTTCTCCGAATAAATGTGTTGAGTTTAATAAATGTTTCATTGGATGCAAAAATCGTCAAGATCGCATGCGTTTTAAGTATAAATATACATCAATTCTCTGATCCGTTCTATTATGTTATATTTATTCTATCGACATTCGATTCTGGTCATCGAAATAAAATTAATATCGAGATCATATAATGTCTTTAAATATCATAATTATGATATAATGAATCACGATGTCAGATCTTCAGCCAAGGATTTGATCCACTCCTCAGATTTATTATTAATTTTGATTGACTAATTAAATATCGATTGAATACGGCATAATAAAATAGATCAGAGAATTGATTTTATATATGTACGTGTGAGTTTTTTACATGATAATATATCGTGTGAAAAATAACAAGTGGCGAGGAATTTAATTAAAAACCATATTAACATCTCTATATGATAATTACATGAATACAGACATCTTTGATCATCACAAGAAATGTATTGTCGAGCTCGCGGCCGTTTACGAATCACATGTATATATTATGCGGATAAGCCGCACGCGGAATAACAACATTTCTCTACAAAGAATCTTGGAACTTTATTTAGGTAATTGTACAATTAGTTCGCCGCGGACACACCCGTCCGCCACCGATTTTCGCGTAACAACAACAACGTGAAGCAGACGCGTTTTATCGAACATCCAACGACGATATCGTCAGGGAACAATCATCTGTTTAAAAATATCGATCCTTGTAGTATTAATTTTCCCGAGGGCAACGAGGTTACGAGCGGATCATCGCTCGTAACAATATTTATAGTTCCGCATATTGTTATTTTAACGTATATAGAGAAGTAAAGTATAGAAATATATCTTCAATTGCGAGAACTTATTTATAAAGACATAAGGAAGAACGTAGAATATAAACTCGATAAACAATATCCACTTCATCTAATTCTATTTTTAATAATTTGTCCAATGGCTTTTTTCATTTATAATTTCTTACAACATTGCGGTTTTATTTGTCCGCTCGTGTATCCCGAACAGTATCTCACATTGTAATTTCTAATTAAAGATCTGTAATTTCTAATTAAAGTTAAATTTTTAGATTATTGGACCATGATGTGCGAATGATTCATTCCGTAACACAACCATGGATAACAACCGAGGATGAAAGTCGAGAGATGATGGCTCTATGGCCGGAGATTTTCCGCGACCTCGTACATGGGGCTAAAACTTATAGGACGAGCAATCTTTTAGAGATTCGCAATATCCATAAATTGATGGAAAGAGTAAATAGTTATTGATTAAAATATATGACAAATTAAATCAATACATTTTTATGAATACAAAAATATCTCTTTTGTTTAGATATTACAGTACATTGTACCAGATGAAAAGAAACTCGAGGTTTAACCGTACCTTATGTCTACAGGTTACTGACATCGAATGATCAACTTACAGAAGATAATATTCGTCTGACACGGATTTTAGAATTCTGCGTGGAAACGGTGCGTGACTTCATTCAACACTAATATCTTCCATAAACTAGATCGAATTACTGAAGTAGACAGTACTGAACAAGACAATATCTTAATTTATTACATCTATTTAAATCAAAGTATATTGTGTGATAATTTGTTTAGATTAAATTTATAAAATGTCATTATACTTTATAATATTAAGATTAATATTAAAAATATTACTTTTATACAGTTGCAAGCTTACTCACTCCTTCTTCAGGATATACAAGACGGATCGATTCGAGACGGATTATTCGGATTTAGAGACTTGCCACATCGAGACGACGATTTATTTATTGTAATTACAGATCATATAGATCATACTTCAATGTTAAACAATACTATCAAGTATATAATTCGAAAGCACTTTGAAGACAAAGAACTTTGTTTTGACCTACTAAAAACATTCCAGGATGTGAGTGAAAATATCCTTCTATGTTTGTAAATACACATTTATCTCTTTTTTTCTTTTAATCGAGCGATTATATACATAATATTTTTGATAGACATTGGAGGAGCAGTACGCGAACAATGGGAAGATTTATATTTTTACCAATTACGGCAAGAAGCTCCATCCGAATGTATTTACGGCTCAATACCATTCTATTGTTGGTTACAAAACGTCCCATTATTCATTTTTCTTACCAGTGACCGTGGCAATGCATTTTGTAAGTACACCTTAGTTTTTTCACAATGAAAAATAATGAAAATACATAAATATTTAATAATGATAATAATGACATGTTAAATATAGGCTGGAATAAATAATGTAGACAAGTTGAGGCAAGCAGAAGCCATCTTGTCAAATGTGGGATTTTTGTTCAACGTCCAAGATGATTATATGGCTTGCTTTGAAGAATCCAAGGTTATTGGCAAAGATAATACTGATATACAAAAAGGAAAATGTACATGGCTAGTTGCTACAGCTTTCGATTACGCTACTCCAGTGCAGCGTAACATTTTAAAAGTGAGTATTCTTTATTAAATATATTGTTTCATTAAACGTTATTATATATTAATCCTTTTCTTATTTCTTCTCTTGTCACGTAGGAATGTTATGGCTCTTCGGATCCGGAGAAAGTGAAACGTGTGAAACAGCTCTTTATCGATTTGGAATTACCAGATAGATATTCTATATTCGAAGATGAAATGTATAATTTACAAAATGTACTTTTACAAAAGCTGTCACCCGGGCCTCTACATAAGTTTTTCTCGGATTTATTAGGGAAGCTTTATCGCAGAAGTGTTTAAAGAACCGTATATATTAAAGAAATAGATTAATGCATTAATCCTTCATAAAATTTGAACTTTAGATAAATTTGAATTTTAAGAAGAAATGTGAAACAACATGTGTTCTGTCATTGTCTCGAAGAATGATAGAATGTTATTTCAAAGTGAAAAATGTCTAAAAACATTTTATAAAATATTATGTACCGGGAAGAATTTATCTCTTTAATAAAGTCAATAAAAAAATTAAAAAAATGAAATATTATTTTCTACTAAATTTCTACAATGTATAATAAATTATTTATTAAAAATGTTAAAGCGGCACTAAATAGGTATAATTGTGAGAATATTAATTTGTCGAAAAATATTTTTATAATTAAAATAAAAATCATGACATATACCCTGACAGCACGCGTATGTTCTGAGTATGTTCTGAGAAGATCGCAGTGCGTATATTGCGATCATCTCAGAATATTCTCATACGTACTGCGATCGACTAAGTACATTCTTATATCCGGAGTAATACCTTCCATGGAATTTCGCCGCGAATATTCACAGCGAATGATGACAGGATTAGGAAAGAATAACGGGAAAAACGGGAAATTTTCAGTAGATTATGGTTGCGTTCCGATATTGATTGCTATTAAAAATCTATAATATACGTGACAATCCTTACAAAAAATAAGTGAAAAAATGAAAAAATGAAAAAAAAGTAAGAGAAAGTGATGAAATATCTTTTATCTTAGATCATCGCCTGTTTCTAAAACAATCACCCAACTTAGGCTCCTGACTCGATACTGCTCCACTTCTATGTTGGGATGAAACCTGCTACTGAAATGATGAGTGAGTATATAAGTGAATACAGAATTTTGGCATAAAATATGATAGATCTGATTAATGAATGTTACTATATTGTATCGTATAAACAGTTTCAATTTTAAAATCTCGATTGCATATGTAATTCTTGTAGATGATTTAATTACATGTATAAAGCCGTGAATATATTATGTTAAATGAGAATAATTTTTCTTATGAAAATTATTTATAAATTGTTATATACATTTTGTTTACTTGTTTATGAATTTGTTAATAATCGTATTAAATATGCGAAATATTTTTCTTATTTGTATGTTATAGTTAATTAGTTAATTAAAGAAAGATAGTAATTAATAATTCATTATTATTAATTTTCATTATTTATTTATTAAAAATGGCTTAAAAATAACGATATATTAAATGACGATATATTTATGACGATATAATATTTCGTGACAAACGTTACGTCTATAGAATATACGCACGCGATAGAAAGGCGTACGTATCATTTCCGTACCTTTGTATAATCTGAGTATAATCTGAGAATATACGCGTGCGATGAAAAAGCATATACCACTGCGTAAATTCTGAAAATATACGCGCGCAAAAAAAAACCGAATGATACTGTCAGTGATGTTCCAGCGTGGATCTCAGTACGTTACAGATAATCACAGTGCAAGCAGTACGAAAATGGAATGATTCGCAGTATGTCGCGTGCTGTTAGGGAGAAAGTTGCATAAGATATGTATTTTAAAATCTTTTCTTTAATTTTGCTTTAAATTAATTCAAGGATCTGTTCTAGGGTTTGTATGTGTAAAAATTAAATTTTAGATTTATAAGAAATGTTACATTGTAGCAATGTAACCATGTAATAAAGTTATGTTGATGTTATATATAGTTATAACAATGCAATGAAGTTATATATTAATGTTATATATAATTAGATAACATTTTGGTCACATGTTATATTAATATATTATCACTGATGTTGGGATGAGTGGGAAATTACAATTAACATGGATGTTACATGTAACATACATTCAATATAACGTGTTACATTTGATTTCATTGTGACAATGTTGACATTATATAACTGTGTTTGTTATAGAAATTTGTTATAGAAAAATGAATATAATTAAAAAATTAATAATATATCCATATATCAGATTTTCAAAATTCACAAATGTTATCATTGAAAAATTTAATAATAATAAAATAGAAAATGTAAAGACAGAAGAATTCTACATAAAAGAAAAAAAAGTATTAAAATTAACAATCAATAATTTAAATTATAAGTGTAAGAATTAGACGACCGTAAGCGGTCATGAAAGAGATTCGGAATATAAACAGCTAACAGAGAGAAGCCGTCGTAGTCGTGCAGACTAAGTGTCGGATTGGTAGACGAGGGATCCCGAGTTCGAATCCAGTCGGTCTCCGTTAATTTTTTCCGAATCTAATAGATATCTTTCATAAGACCAATGATTCAGCGATAAAAATATTTCCATTAATCATAATGGGCGAATTCGATTTTCAAATTCGGAAACATATTGCAGAGACAATATTGCTCAGATATGATCAGATATGAATGATCACCAAATTAAACAAATACAAATTAATAATCTAAGAAGGGAACCCTCTCTTGACGCACACCCGTGCGTCACGGCGGGGCCCGATCACGAACCAATCATGAAAACTCGCAATTATTTTGCGAAAAAATACCACACCTCAGCCGGGAATCGAACCTGGATCTCCTGCTTACTGGGCATCTTATCCTTTCAACTACCGAGGCATGTGATGATATTTATCGCAAATAACGTGTTTAGAATAACACGTCAACAATACAATGATACATATACATATACACATATTACAATATATACATATATACATATATACATGTATTCTTTCGAATCCCCCCCGAGCGGTATTCCAGAGCGATGTTGATCTTGGATGGATGCAGGTCGGACTGCAGCGGCGACACCAACGCCATTGGCAAATACGAATTGATAATTTAATGCCTTAT